TATATAAGTTGAACGGGAATTGGGCACTAAGCAGCTAACATAAAGGCTCGAATAGGAGCTCTTACGGAAGATAGACGTCGTTGTCGTCTGAATCATACCAGAATGCACTCAGGAGCTTCGCTACTTCAATGTTACCCTCAGCATCGCGTGTACTTCCTCGTTTAAGATTGGCGCGCTCTACGAAGTGCTGATGTATGCTATTGTCCTTTGAGAATATCATAGAAATTTTTTTCTTTAACGGCTCGTTTAGGAAAACAAGCTCCAACAACAAAAGTTTACTAAACCAAACGCTCTTACACAAAAAGCGTCGTCTGTAGAAATAATTTCATAGTCTCGGGCTATCAGACGGGCAGTCACTAATTGTCTCGGATAAAACGAGTTCCGTCCTAGATCATCGATACCATAATACCAAGATAAATTGCCATTGTTGTAGTGAATAATTCTGAACGTCCTATTGGTTTTGTCTAAGCGTAAATAACAGCGTTGCGTAAATAATGCATTTAAACTAGCATCTTTTTCCGATACCTAAATATCCGTGAGTTCCTTAGAACATTGAAGAGTTCACACCGAAGTTGTGACCGTTAAGTATGTATCATTAATATGATAGCATCAGGACAAAAAAAAAAAGTAGAAAACCATAAAGCTAGCTATCTTTTGATAGAGCATATTATATGGTAGTTTTCGAAATAATGTACTAACCTTTTTGCATTAATGCTATGGTATTTTTTCTCGGATGTTTTTTTAGAACTAGAAAGTTTGCCGGTGAGATTTAATGGAAAAGCTATGTATTGTTTTATGGAAGCTCTATGAAAAAACGTTGTTTTTTTGTGTGTGATGCCGAGTTTAACTATATATATCGCTTGACGCTATTCGGCTGGCAGATAAGGTCTGACAACCTATAATAAGTCTGATCTAACTAACAAAACACATATTAGTTAATACTGATCGAATGATATTTCTTCATTACATACAGTACTTTCAAGTTACCAACAGCAAGCAATAAACTTGCCAGTATTGGTACAATGTATATCCCGTTTATAGTGCTTGTTTTTTATAATTAACATCTTATGTTGTTACCTATACATATGATGATATAGCAGATTTTCAGTGTCTTTGTAAAAGCCGTATTCGGACGCCTCTGTATATACTTTAAAAACTATTCAGTGTTTATCTATAGTTAGCTCGAACGCAGCCCAGACATTTATGCCGCACTTCTAGCTAGTGATTTTAAGCCATTCGATTGCTGTCAAAGGAAACGTTCCCTAACATGTATAGCGTAAGGTTACCCTCCAGTTTCACCCACATGATCATTATAGGGACACAGAGACGGCAACTATTTCAACCTTACGAATCCATACTTACTAAATATCACATATCGCATCATATCACAAGACATTCAACACACAGGCGCGCAAATAATGCGTACTGGCTTAGCCGGCAGTGAATATCTTCATAAAATATTCCGCGCGTTGAACTCTTCAACCTGCGATTGTCCGTTACCCCGACTATTCCCAATCGAGCGTCTTATTTGCCAAGATTGGCATTATATAATATAGCTTACTTGAGCATAAATTCGAAATTTTCGAGGTGCGGTGTATAGCAAATAATAAAAAGTGAACGTTGTGTGGGCACGACAAAATGACAGCGTTTACTGTTTGCCGTTGCCCTGAAAGGGGCAGATCAAAACTGTTGACAGTTTTTATCGGTCTTTTCACTTTCCCGTCTGTTAATTTCTATCAAGCCAATAGTAGCATCATAACTTTTCATAGCACGATTATAGTCCTGAAGCATTTCCATTCTAAGCCCTATAATTCTCCCTACTTTTCTTCCAGCTGTGTAGCAAATTTTTATTTTCGTCTTAACTCACACACTGCGGTATGTCTCATAGAGGCCAACTCATCCTTGCCTGCTAAGATACAGTCTTAATAATCAATGACATGTCTGCCTGAGCCTTTCATCGAAACGCAAACTCGTGTTCCCCACAGACGGACCTCGACGGATCATCTAGATTTCTAGTTTGCAGCAGAAGCAACAGCATTAACTACTGACGATTACCTAATTTCTCAAGCGAAATCCACCGACTAGCGATAAATAGTAAATTTTAGTTGTATGAATATCTATGTACCTGTAAGGCCGAAGAAAGCCACGCGAGCAAATGACAACTATCCATTAGTAAGGCACACATCATTGCCACTGGTGTGACTGTGCTGGGTTGGGAAGAAGTGCACATCAGGAAGGACCCAGATAGGTACTGGGCGAGCGATGTATAGTGCCGTTCTTTTTCCTAGTTTCCAATGTGTGCCTATGGCTATAATTGGACATAAATATGTACGTATATTACGTGGAACAGGTTTTGACGAACTTACCCTTCCACTGAAGTGACCCATAGCAGTACGAAAACACAAACTAACAGAATCCACTGTAAATATATGAATTTGTTATTTTGTTTAGCGCCTTCAGCTACATTTACCATGGGAACAAGTCTTAATAATTACTTTTGTGGTATTCCACCAAGGGTTCACTTCCTCTAGTTCCCCTGGTTACGGTCGGCTATAGGATGATAAGCTGTAAGAACAAATCGTTGGCTAGTTAAAATTGACGAGCAATTACATTCCTATCCCTGGTTGTTTTTCTGCATTATTTACGTATCCCGCAAACTGTAGGAGGGTAGTTAAACTAACAGCTGTTTATTGTTTCCTTTTGTAACTGTAACAACATATATTGTTATGGTTATATATAATAGCAATGCTCTATGACAATCCACGATGTAAAGCTGTCGTCAGTGGATAAACGACGTATCGTTACGGCTAAAAATTACGTTATCGTAACAGAAGTGTTATTCCTCTATGATTACCGTTATTTCGATCGACAAACTGCATTTATTTGCCCGTGGTCGACGTAAACGGAACGATATTTAATGAGACGAGCCGTTTTGTCTTTGAGTGCTGTCGATGCTGAATAGCGACCGTCATAATCACTTGCTGCGCCACAAGGTTCCTGACGCTTCGCGGATTCGGTGTTAAAAAATGATTCGGTCGGTCGGTCGGTCGGTGCGGTATTTCGAAATGTGTGGATGTTTCCAATCATATTTTACATTAGGTAAATATCGATAGTAGTGAATTTAGATGTAAATGGCTGCCGGAGGAACCGTGAAACTAGGAGATACAGGATGTTGCTAGATTCGCGTTAGCGACGTACTCTGACGGTATTGATGACGAGATTATACGTTCTGCTATTTAGTAGGCAAACGCGTTGCCACCACCGTTTTGTAATAAGAGTTGTAGGCGTATTAGGAGCAAGCTTTGTCCAGCCTTCTTAGCTCTAGCAAATTAAAATAAACCTAGAACTATTGAAAGAGAATTAATACCGACGATGCGTAGTTTACTGAACGGCTGAGCTAAGTTAGATAAGCAGTAGATTTATTGCAAGTTGCGGTTCGTTATAGCTATTTGCCGCAAGGAACTATGTTTTCTTACCGTAAGTTAGCATCCGTATGCTAAAAAATCACCAACAACTTCGAGCCTAGGCATTTCGTCACGACCGCAGTATTTAACACCTCCAAAATATATACGTGAATATTTATTTCAGTTCTTACGTGTTCATGTGCCAATCCAGTTCGCCAAAAGAAACTGCTTTTATTTTGTTCTGCCTTCTCCAGTTAACAGTTATAACTATCTCTAGTTGCCGTTAGCCTCTTCTCTGCTTTCATGTCCAATCTCCGTGCCTACCTCTCTTGAAACCACTCTTTAGCGATGATTATTTGCTTGCGGACATCCTCGGGAAATAGCAATTTCGCTACTGTGTCAGGCAACAAAGAACGACTTCTTGACGCTTTATATTTTTGCGGCGACGACTGGATGCCGGATACTGATTACGCTCCTTTGCAAAAAAGCAAGCATCCGGCCCCGTACCGGTTTCTTGGAACGTAAAGCAACTGACGCTGGACACAGGAACGCGTTCCAGAACTATCCAGCTTATGAAGACTTATATGGTACAAACAGCGTTCGCGATAACGGCGGTACCAAGTCGTCTATAAGACCAGTGAAACGTTACGACACAATCACCAGTCCCGGAACTATTATAAGAGTGGGGAACATGACTGCGTTATCGTAAGCCACAGCTCTTATAGAGTAAAGGGTATCGCCGTTGTATTATAGACACGGTGATATTATCTGTAGTCGCATAGACATAGTAATATGTTATAGCTATGCATACGTATCTAAACGTTCCAAGCTGTCCCGAAGCGTTCTCAGGGCTATGGAGTTGATGCCGAAATGGCGTTCACCCTTTTCTCGCATCATTGTTGTTCGTATTGGCAGCAAAGACATCACTGGGACGCTGTAGTAGCACCAAGTACGCGGCCGCTGCGTTGGCTGCCGCCGAAGCAAGTACACGTAAGCGTGACTTGTTGAACGCCGGTGGTTTTGTAGCGACGATCCTCGGCTATTCAAGGACCCCGCCGCCGCCGCCGCTCACTGGGCTTGGCCCACTCTGGCCGCGACGACCCCGTGGCGGTAGCTGCGCCAAATAGTCGCGGCTTCATCCGCGGCTAACAGCATGACAATATCTGGACCCAGCTGCTTTACTCGGTTTGCAGACTCCTCGAACGACCATCGTACCCAGTTCGGCATCATTACTACTATGACTTCTAGTAGCAGCAGTGTGTCGGAGGATACTCGATTCGCGACAGACTGTTACTGCTCGAATAGTTTATGTTTTTTTCTCACTGCTGATGGTGACCAGCCGTCGTAGTCAGACCGGCACCGTCCCGTCGTCTGGTCCTATGCAGCTGTAAGTCGTCGTTGCCTCTTGTGCTTCGTCTCACCGTTGCCTTTTCTTCGCGCTGGCGTTTTTCTCTTTGTAGAAGTGCCGGTTCGGCAATGAATGCGCTGGCAAAACTCTCACCGACTTGTGATGGTAAAAGCCCTCTCTCATGTCAATGGTCCCGAATGACTGGTCGGTCAGGCGGCCGGACGGCGGAAGGTGCGCGAGCCCACAGACAAACATTCAGCCGCCTTCACGACATAAGATTGTGTGCTCCAGTTGTGGCTTTAGCAGATCTGAGGTTTTGTCTCAGAGCTGTTGCCGTTAGTGCTGCCTATTGCTATGACTAATCCAATCTGTAAGGCACGAAACTGAGCTCAACTAAGGTGGGTGACCAAGATGCGCTCTCGGTGATTTAGCGGTCTGACTATTGGCCATTGGCTTCGGTTCCTTATCAGAAATACGCCTACAAAGTGAGGAATTCGTTAATTAGCATTGATATCACGCTGGGGGGAAGAGGCAAACTAAAAAAAAAAACTGAAAAAAGTTATTAGTAACTTAGTAAAGTGATTTTATTTTCTATAACGATACCATGCAAGCATATCCCCCTCCTGCATCGAACTGGGTGACTTGTTGGCTAGATCTGACTAAGCTTTGCTGCGTAGTCTACGGATAGCAGTGATTTCGAATTATGTCCTTGTATGTGCGTTAGTGGATTGCAGCAGTGGAACCTTGCAAGACCGTACAGACAGAGAACAGGCCGTTTGCTGCAAAAGTCCACCATCGAAAATGCCGCTTGGATAACTGTAACGGGCCTGAACGGTGGCAATGGTGGAAGTATTTGGCGTGCTTGTGAGTACTAGTGGCGCCGCCGCCGCCGCCGCCGCCGCTGCTGCTGCCGCCGCAGCTGTTAGTTCATCTCGTTTTGTAGGTTAGGTAATGCTTCGAGCACCTCGCGGAATATGTGCGTGACAACCCACGACTTGCAGTGGGGAACGAATAGATCTTTAAATGTTGTTTGAATAGTAACGTATAACATTAGAATAGAAACGGAAGAATTCTCTGTGAAAAATATAGTCCCACGACTGATGATCATTTAAGACAAAGATGTAATCTATAGAATTAATCATAGAACGGTAGTCAAAGATGGCCAAATTAAACAAACGAAAAAAATGCATTACCTAATGTAATAGTGACAAAAGTGCAAACGAGGTCAACGGGAGAACTATTTGCAACGGATGTGCAACAAATAACATTAGCAATAAGAGTGCGAGCAAAATGTGTGCAGTATCTGAATACAGCGGCAAAATGCATTGGTGATTTGATGGATATCGGCGAGCTGCATAACAGAAACTCCTGTATACATGCCTGTTCTTTAGACAAAATCATACTTTTGAGCAAGGACTACAAATAGGATCACGTTGGAAGCAATATTAGCGTCATGTAGCGAAAAAAAAAAAGAATAGTTCTTCTTGGAATACAAGGATCCATGCCTACTGAAACAGGGAGTAAGTAAACCTTCGTAAGGCTTCCAAAGCCTATAGAATTAGCTGCATGAGATAATACATACTTGGAAGTCGAGAAAATTAAGCACCTATATAATACAAGAGATCAGTCATAGACCCGTACACTAACGATAAAGTCTATCTATAGCTGGGGTATCGCCTCCTTCTACTTGCGGGAACAGCCACATAATTTTCGTGGAGGTGGACTTCACGCCGATGCTGCCACAAGGGGTAAAAGCCCGCATTAGATTTAACAGAGGTATATCTGCCTATGAATCCTGGACAGGTCATGTGTTAAATGCAAATGTATTAGATACTGGGAATAGATATAATGTCCGTGTCTGAAGGTCAACCGTATAGTAATAAATCGAGAAAAAAAAAAAGTCGATAAAAAGAGGGAATTAAAAGCTAATAACGTTTAGTCTGAAATTAAACTTTTTGACCATCTGTGGTCGAAGTCTCGTGTTAGAGTAAAAACATAACGATTTTAAGTCAAAATGATTGCATCCTATTAGCTCTATGCCGACTGATTTTGATTCGCCTTATACGAGTTTTTGTCCTTTCTAAAGAATATTAGCAAACGGCAATAGCAAAGATTACTAAGAACAATAGTTGTCTCTATGGTGCTATCTTTTGAACAATGATAAAAAGAACGCGCAGCGACAACGAAAGAGCCGTCGGTGTTTTTCGTCTGAGGGGATACCGGTTCTGGCAGTCGCAGCACGAATAAAGCTCTTAGTATAGAAATTTCGCGAAGTAATTCTCTTTATGCGAACCAAACGTATTGGCAAAACGTAAAAAAGAACGTATTGGAATTTGTGTTTCTGCAGGACGACGCATACTGTGTGTCGTCATTTAATTACACACGTTTGTATATACCGTAGCACGTACATAATATGGTAAAATAGTTGAAAAATGTTAGATCCCGTGTGAGAAATAACATCTATGATGTTCGAAAAACTCGAAGCTGACCCTTCGCGTGCAGTAACTTTCCTGGGTAGTTCATCTTTCTATGTCTAGTAAGCAACTATTCCCTTTACTACATGCGGAGTTGAAGTACATCCCCCCACTCAGATAGTTATCATACGGATTTTCTTCTGTATTAGCAGTAGCTCAGTGGTGATGTGTTTGACGATTTCATTTAGAAACACGGGGTGGTCTAGGCCCAAAACCGGCGGAATTATCCGAAGCAAAATTTAGCAGCAGGCTCGTGTGGGCAAAATCCCCGCTTTGGACCCATACGAAATCGGACGCCGGCGATTGTACAGGTCAGTTGAAAGAAACTAGTGATCCCCGAGCATAACTTAGTTTAGATTGGGCCCGTATACGTGTACGTACTCTGTAAAATTAAAGCATCGCATTCGTTGTACTACATGTAATTCTTATCAAGTTGTCTGTGAAAAGAGATTTTGTTGATTTCATGGCCATAACGTACCATTCGGACAAAACAGTATTCTCACAGCAGATAATCACGATCATAGATTATAATTTACCAAGGATAATTATTTATATCAAAATCATGCAGAACTACAATGCTAATTATAAGGCTTCACTGTGACTAAGTCCATTTCGGAGAACGGGGCGTACATCGTCGCCGTTCTTTCTCAATCTCGGCCGGGAATCATCCAATACAGTTATATGATAGCTATAATAATAAACTCATTACACTGACCAGCCGAACTCCAAGGGGGCCTATTGTAGACGAATGATAATATTTAATCTGTCTAATTTTACGGTAAATATGAACAAGGAATCATCTGAATCAGTGATCTTCTTTAAAAAAGATAGTGTTTCCTTAATGATTGACTGACTTTTTCGCGTGAAATTATTATTGGGCTTTAAGTGATACTTTCTTAAAATGAATGAATTGTGACGAGCTTGCTTAGGCCACAGAATAGAAGGGTCTTCAGCGACAATACTGGTAGACTTACTTTCAACAATCGCGCTAAATTAATTTCCGTCCATTTAATTTTACTCAAACCTATATATATATATATATATATATATATAGGTTTGAGTATAAAACGTATGAGGTTCATCAATATGAAAAGTTTTTTTGACCGCGAAACGTTTTATCACGAACGTAATCAGCGACAGTATTCGGTGACAGCTATTCATCAAACATTTTCATCATATTTAAATAATCTAAAATACCTAAAAACGGATATTCCATTGGACGTTTTAGCTCTTTCGTAATGTGGCCAAAATATGATCCACCCCCCACTTTGGGTCTATTTTTGATGGGTGATTTCCAACATCCAACATCCGAGGTCAGCTCATCGACGCTGCAGAGGACCGATTCAGAGTTCCAGGTTTCCAAGAGTGCTGGTGTCGGCTTTGGAATATGGCAACCAGCAAACGTCACGACCTGCTTCAACGCGCCCATAAAAAGTACCCAGTACTACGATGATGATATTCACACTCTTCTTAAGAAAACTGAAGGAAGCTGATGATAACTACGAGAGAAGATGGCTAAGAAGCGATCCCAAGCAACTGTGGCTACGAAAGCCCGGATCAAGCACAGTAAAGTTGATATTCCTGCATTCGAAACAAATAACAGCTTAGGTCCAGTATTAACAAACGCTTTACGGGTAGCCCCTTTGTTGGCCACACCGGCCCTTGAATACGAGAAAGCCTTTAGAATTACCAGCTATTTTTGAAAAAAAAAAAAAAGTCTCAATGTCTAAGAAAATGACGAGTTACCCTCTAATCATACGTCAATATTTCAGAAGCGAGAAAATCGCTTCATAACCCATAAGCAATTAATGAACACCTTGCAAGTATATAAAGGAAGTACTTTGGTTTTAAAGATGTATAACACATATTATAAATGTATAAACGATTTATGAGTTGCTGAGCGGTACTCGACTTTTAACTTGGCGTTTAGCTTAGAACTTTTACTAATCGGATTGATAATCCGGGATTACCCAGCGGTATAACGTGATTAGTCTAGACAAGGTTATGGTTGACAAGATATATTGATATGCTAATGTATTACCAAAAGAACGTTTCGTCGCACTGATTCGAGCGAACTAAATAAAGTTTCCACATAAATTTTAAAGTGATGCCGGACTATTACTACTGAAGTATTGATTGACAAAATCTACATTACGAAATAGAAACACAGCCACTTATAAACTTAACAGAGAATTACTTCGATAATATATAAGTCATCATTATATAAACGATTTGATCTGCGTGTACTTCTGTTTAACGACACTCACAACTTAATGTTATTATGTCCTGAATGTGGGGCCGCCCTTTAGTAGAGTTGTCAGCCGAAATACGTTCCCAACATTGCGGCGTCGACAACAAGCACAGAAGTGCTGTGACATTTCAAAACAACTTCAATTTATAGCAGAATATAGTCCGTTTCATTATAGGATCCGATGGCTTTGTTTTAATCACCGTCGCCAACAATTGCTTGCCAAATGTTGTTAAAATAACGATAACGACAAATAACTAGTTTTTTACCGTCTGTAGTATATCAATCATATGCAACGGAACCAGCCGTCGAAACTAGCGTCTTACAATACGACGGAATGGCTTCATCTGTGTTAGATCAATGACCAAAAAACACAATCAATAGGGATCCCTCTTTTATAGACTTGTCCTGTTTTCAGCATTACGCATTATACTTTTCCGTAACTTCCTAGCCAATAACTTCTCTTTCATATTTTAACTTTCTTGGCATACCCCTTCCAGTTGTGTTCGGCTAGTTGAGACTTTGAAAACGGCTTGCATTATATCTAATGGTGCAACATATCTAGGTTGGGCACCATCAATGTTGAAATCTACCGACACCACCCCGTTCATATATGCATTTACATACGAATAGGTCTATGGCCACCACGTCGACCATGAGGGTTAACAGCGAGCGAAGTTGCTTTGCCAGCTAGCTATTAACTTTGCGAACCACTCTAACTATACCCGGGCTGTTGTTATCGTTGACTATGAATAGCACCGTTATTTTGCCCTTTTTACAACTATACACTTATTATAAATGCTCAGACACACACACACACCCCTACACTTGTACATTTCTGTATCGAGTCGCCGCTCCCGTCGCTGCTGGCTGTTCTTCCATTGTTTATCCGCCTGTCACAGCGACGTTTGTCTATTCAACGGTTCCACATCTACGACAAGTCCAGCAGTGCATGCGAACGCCGCTACAGGCGTCGCTACAATCGACGAAGCCGTTGCTACCCTGTCTGTCTATCTCTTATCATTTCGGATCTATCTATCTATCGTTCGTCGATCGGAGACTTGCTATACCTCGTGCGTTTATTTGTGACTTCAATGTTCTGCCACCCTTTTCGCTATCGCAGTCGGCGTTTTCTTTATTCATGCTAGAGCATCGACCAAGTCGCTGGCGTCGAATCCTGTCCCAGCGCATCCAGCAACGCAACAGTAGTGTCCCACCATTGCCAGAGCCATAAAATAGGCTTGCGCTCCTTTTCCTAAATTTTCTTTTGTCCTTCCACCAGTCGTGGCTGTCTTTCGATATTTTTCTAGTGTTCGCGCAGCACTTCTTTGTGTTATTTGTCTGTTTTTGTTTGATTATCCAGTCCTGCTTGCCTGGACACACGAATGGCCGACTCATTTATTAAAAGTCGCTTTTAACTAGTTAGCGACGAAGTTGCTTTTCTAAATCCACTTTCGCGCCTTGTCTTTTGTTAGCTTCACTTAGCAGGGCTTGCTCGCTCCCTCGTTCATTCGAGCGCTATGCTAAACACCTTCGGATGCCGATCTGATGCGCGGAAACATTCAACGCGATAGGGTACCGGGATAAGGGGTGATAAGGGTGAGAAGACAGCGAGCATCCTGCTACTGTTGCCTGATACTCCGAGGTTTTCTTGTTGCAGGGTGGCGCCATTGTCGTTTATGCGAATAATGTCTCCTGCAAGCCCAATTAAACAGAAGACGGTTCCGGCTGCCGGTACGTTTATCCAACAGCGTCTGACAGCAGAACGACAGATAAGGCAACGCGGCCATCTCGCCGGCGCTCGCTTAACAGGGAAAGGCGCAAAACACATTTACGTAAAAAACCGTCTCATATTATCGAATAGCACTTAGTAGCTTTTCTAGATGATTGCTTAACCCATTAGTTACCCACGTGTGCTGGCTGTCTAATGCGTTTTTAGTTATGCCTGTGCTATCCTTCATGAATATTTATCCAAGGAAGGCAAGATAAGAACGAATCAGAACCGTTGTTAGAGAGAAACCCTATAAATATAAAGCGAAGTTTTTCAGGTGCTTTTGTACGCTAGCGCTACGTCAGGGAAAAGGGACCAAATGCCGTCACAACAAGAAAGCAAAAAGCTGGACGTTGTTTGTACGACCAACGACCAAATAACAATAGGTAAACCTGACAGCTAAATTGTTAGCGATATTATTAAGAATCGAAGAGCGATAATGTGCGGGGGAAAACGGAATTCGTTGGGCGGAGGGTAACTTTGCGGGGATCTTCGGCTTATCTCGGATTTTGGTAGCACATGACCTTAGCGATCAGATCCTATAGTTACAATACAACTATATAGGTACACTTATAGTACTAACGGCAGCAATGATAAATTAGATGCGAATAGAAATAATAGGCGTGGAAGCAAAACGCTCATCTACTGCTTAGTTAATACGTATATATATATATATTATATAAAGTTTGGTATATAAGCATTGATCACAATCGCAGCGGCTCCTCATTTTAATTGTAGATTGCCTGCGCCTGTTAATCTGTGAGCCATATCGGCGAGTTAATGGATAACACTGAGCAATGTATATCTGAGACGAGGTTGTCTCTCTTGTCGTAGAAACAGCAGAAATTCGAATTTAGCCAGATCTTATGTAAGATAACAGATGTTAGTGTCATCTCAACAACAAATCATCGTAGAAATACGTGATATCGACATGCACAGGTAAGTATATGATTCAAGGGCGCGTATTGACTTGAGGTAGCTTTAATTCGCCAAATTAAATTGCTCTTCATTCGAGGTTAGCAAAAAAGGACAATCGATCATTTCCGCACGGGTTCAAGAAGCTTTTATGTGTGGATCAACATTTTCCTATTTATTTATTCCCAAGTTAACGCTAAGCGTGTTCCTTCCAATTCCACAGACAGTGTGGCGAACGAAAATGTATGGTGGATTCTTATTTAGTCAAGATTACTGAACATGGCATCTTTTCGTTTGTCAGCAACTGGGGTACCATTTTCTGATACGCCGACTTCGGATCTGCCTCCAAACGCAGTACCTTCTCGATGTACGTTTTTTTCTAAGGAACTGCGCAGGACATCTAACAAGCACAACAAGTTTGGTGTTCGACCACTCTTTGAGTACGTGCTCTGCCTTAAAAAGGACTTTCATCATGATTAGACCACAGAACAGAGTCTCGAATATCTAGTTTCAATAGCCTGTAATAAAGCGTGCTTGCGTTCTTTGGTCGGTTAGAATATTCTCAGAAAACGTCTTTTATAAGCTTTTTTTTTACGTGATGCTCTACATGCGTTGTAAAATTTGAGGACGCTGCTATTGCTTCATTCTGCCAAGAGGCGTCGATGTCGATGGCACCGACACAGTCGGTCAGGTCCTAGGCCTGAGAACCCCTCGCATTTTACAGCAACAATTCAATCTTGAGTCATGGTGATTCGTTCGTGTATGACGGTAATGTTTTAGATATTAATGAGCTTGTTTTGTACGAGTTTTTAGCCAATAAGTCAACTCGAATCTCAAATGTAGACAGTGTGCCTGAACAACCCCGGAACAATTGCAATCTAGAACAATACGATACTGAACTATGTCGTTAAGTTTTTCGTTGAATCAGTATAATTCGTGCTTTATAATGTTTTCTATTTTCTTAGCCCACTCGTACCTATTCCACAGGATAGCACGTGTACACTAAGGTGGCAAATATCCTTGCAGTAGGGATTTTTTAATTAAATACTCTGTTTTATAATATGACCCTATATTACGTATGTGTATATATATATATATATATATATATATATATATATATATATATATATATAGTTTACGTCTTAAGAAATTTTCAAAAATGGTCAGAGTTTACAGACAAGGCTCTTTGATACGGATGGCCATAGAAGAGAAAAATAAAAATCAACTATTTAGCCTATTCTAGCAGCAGGAACAGTTCTTTGTTGCAAAACACGTCATATTTCCGATTATTGATGGCCTATCTGAATTATGCAGCATCACTTGAAAAGGTACGCTACTCAATTCGATGCAGTGTAGCCTTACAGATAATACCTCGTCTCTGATCCTATTTCATACGTTTCGCGCATCGCTTTTGTTAAGGATGCACTTGTTCCGTACGACACACTGCATCCTTTAAACCCATGAGCTTTAAACTTCTCTATATAGCAAGCTTTGAACTCACTTATCTAAGCTTGGACAGACACACGAGATGTATTACTGACCATGGTCTGCCCGTAACTGCTTTAGGTAATCATAACGGAAGTCTACGAGAGAAAACTTACCTGTACAAGCACAATTCTGTTTAACATACACTCTTCAATTAGACATTGTGTATGTATATATTTGAAATTGAGGCCACTGAACTCTGAGCAGCTCATCGATTCCATATAACTCGTTTAGGTCAGCATTTCCTTTTTCACGGCGTCGCTTTGTAATAGTGCAATGCTCGTTATCTCCTTTCTGAAAAACCTTTTTTTTCTTATGCCATTATCAGGCCCTAAGGGCAGTTTTAAACAGTTCGTACGCAACAAAATCTCCCCAACTTGTGTCAAGTAAATTTATCTATCCAAAACTCAAATCAACGACGATAGAGAACAACATTCTAGAACTGCAATTTGGCGCACTTTTAACGCTAACTATAATCATATAATAGTTATTCAGACTGTTACTGCTTTTCCCGGAATCCGTAAAGTTTTATCTGCGTACATGGATCAGGCCGACAGCCTTGTAGGAGCTTATTCACTAACGGCCTACCGTAACCACGAGTACATTTCAATGCGATACGAAACAACCAGCTATTAGAGGTCCCAACACTGATGGCTAGACAGAAGAATAAGATTCAGTGACATTTTTCTCAGAGCGATTACCACCGATCGTTCGCCAACGGATCACCATCTACCCTATTCAACGGGGTCGCATGATTAGTCAAAAGTATCGAGGCACAATTAACCCCCTGTAATCAGCACCTAAATAAGGCAAATGTATACTTATCCTAAAATTCCTTTGAGCTTTCTGCGAACGGCGGATAAATACACGCGGTTAAGCGGATCAGCAACTGCAAGACAAATCCAAAACATCTACAATCTAATAGAAATTGGACCTTGCCATTCTATATATATATATATACCATCTATATCTTGTGTGAAAGTACGATAATATATCAGCGTGGCAGTTTTATATTCCGGTAAATGCACAAGTTTAAAACCGCGTACGGTCGTAGGGTAACGTTTTTGAGTTTGGATCGCCCAGGTCTGGCTATATTACCTAATAAAGTAATTCGTTAATGCCAAAAAAGTGTTTGTTTTGTGCAGTCTTTCACACGTAAACTAAGGAAACAACAGGTGAATCGATAGATACATCCTTTCGCATTCGACTCGGTCGCCAACCGAGGTCTCAGCTAGACTCGTAGCTGAAGTTAGCCAGGCTGACGCGTTATAACATGCGCGGATTGATTTCTTTATCAGACCTATAGAGACCATCGATTGGATAAGGTGTTTTTGTGTACATATGTATCTTGAAAATAAGTACACTGGTGGTAGCTTCAGCCGAATTCGAGAAGAGCCAATGATGTCCTTCGTAGTGTCGCAGTTCTAGACCTATTCAAGCTGTTACAATAAGTACCTGCTTTTGCTTACAGCCAGAAGCAATTTCAGGTGTAATTTCTTTTTTCAGTTTCCAGAGGCGTACACAAATGGCGGAAATAGGACATTTCACTTCTAGCAGATGTCTAGGGTGGGCTGTTAATAACTATAAACAATTAGAGCAGATCTGAATATGAGTGTCAGCAATACGATACAATTGATTCTGCACTTTCGGAAATCCTTCTTGAAGAACGACCGTTTATTTACCGTTGTAATAGTACATTACACAAATCTCTCTATGATGCCTGTTGGCAATGTTTGGAAAAGCCGTGACCACGGTAGATGATACGAACGATTCAATACCATACTGAGCAAAGACAAATAACAATAAAAAAAGAATAGGAAAATTAATTTGAATATCGCTCAACGTCATACTAAGTACCCAACAAGGAGAATTTGTTCTGATGTGCTTTTTTGCGACTGTGTATTTCAGAATTTCCTGCAGCGCGATCTGACCCCGCTGTAATCTTGGAGTAAGCCATTGAACATTATTGTCGAGACATAAGGATGGTGCCATACATCAATCCCCGCCGTTTTAGATCTGCCAATACTGTACGACGTGCTGACTCTGGCGCGTATTGCTTAAAAGTGGGAATCCAACAGGATGCAAAGTTGAGCCGAATGCGGCCTCTAGGGGCGAAAGGATGGCCTCTTTAAGGGATCCGATGCTGATATGGGCAACATTTGGTCCTCGCAGTCTAACCAGAGCGCTCATCTTAATAATTGTAGGTACTACACTGCAGCTAAATAGAAATGAAGTGACGGCGCAGGCATAAATGAGAAAAAATCAGCACAGGCTTCAGGGGAATGAGACACACTGTAAGCTTTATGTGTGAATACTAAACCTGTTGAATGCCTAGGCAAAGTACCTGTACATTCAATAGCATCGCACATTTGAGCGTAACCAAAAAAATACACTTTTAGCGATAAATCGTTTATGACAAGTATCTTTTCAGTTAATGGCTCATTCGTCACGGACACAGGCGTAATGCTGGAGCGTGAACCAAGTGCCGAGCAACTCACTCAACTTCGTGAGGAGAACACCTGTCTAAAGAAGACTACGAATTATCAAGAAGACACAATTCGGCAGTAAGTATCATGGTAATAATAGTTACTAAGATTTAACTTGTCAGCAATTGTATCAGAATATATCCATTAAACGCTACATATAAACGACTGTGATATCTGTCGAACAGGTACAAATTAGGGAAATCGGCCTATTCTGACATGGCCCTCACCATTTGAGTTGGCCGGGCCACATGCTCCAGGCTAAACAGACCTAGGTGATTCTTTACAGCTTTAGCTTAAATGCATGGTCGTGCTTGGTTGTTTTGTGGAACGTGCTAATGGACGGACATAACTGCCATCGTAAATAGTAGATCTTTCCATTAATATATACCAAACCAATTGTCTCTCCTGTAAGCTCAAAAACGTAGTAACGTGTCTATCTATATATCGTAGCGCTACTGAAGCACTCCAGATCGCTTTGATTTGAAATTTAGGCATAGACTATCTGAATAGCAACAATGAAAGCGATATATCTCGTAATCCCGTCTCATACTCGATCCTTGCAGGTGCTTCGTATTGAGCTTTTACTCTGGTGGGTACTTGAGGCATTGCTGAACAGAGGTACCGAGGCCTATTATGAAAGGAACTGCTGATAATCAATTGAAACACCAGTCTTTCTTTGTTAGGACTCAGTTAGATTTATTTACTAGCAAACCTAAGTAACGGAGAGCATCACAGTCCTGTGTAGACACTCGTGAAATCATCATTATTATAAGGGACTGATTGTCGGATAAGAAGGCTAGAGGCGACAAAGTACATGTCCTGCTCTCTGTCTATACTATTTCAAACTAAGTATACGGTTTAGGTTTATGACGACAAGCAAAAACAATGTTGAACCAATGAAACCAGCAAGCTACGCCGGTAATTGAAGCGCACGAAAACTAAGTTCAACGTCTAAAATGACATCAGCTTTAAAAACTCTTACGATAGGAAGAGTGAAGCTAATTAGAGTAAGGCCCGAAGATCTGCTGTATCATTCATGCATATATGAAGACTTTTTGAACACATTACGAAAATATTCATATATTTATTGTTACAACTGCTTAGATTTTGTTTTGGCAAGAATACACAACGTGAAGTAAGACTGTACTTCCTGATCACTTCATCACTCATAAGATGTGTCGAATACAAGGTCTTTTCAAATATTTGTTTGCAAAAAAATGACAGCTTCGAAGACTTCCACTACAGCGAAATCGTTTCGACTGGACAAAAACTTTGCGCAGTTATGCAGCCATACGGAAACATATCATGATTAAATGTATTCTTGCTTGAATAGTGTGTCCCCTTAAAGGTCAGCAAGTCGCGTTCTTAATATCCACGTAGGCGTGAAGCATCGTCAAGGGCATACTGTCAAAACAAAATCCTATTAGTCGGGATCACGACATAAAGTGAACCTCTTTGTAAAATCCCGTTGTACTCCTTTCTCCATATAACTACGAGTTTCGCTTTGTTAATTCTGTGGTCCTTTCGCTTTAATTTTCATTTTCTAACTATAGAGTTGAATTTAAATAATTTAAACTATAGCTTGGATTTAAATCGGTTCCTCCCCTTTCAATATGGGTCGTAGCCGGTGAGCTGCTTTGAGCTAAAAAGTGCAAGATGAAGTTACTTAGGATCGAAGGTCTGCGTATCGTATTAGTGGACAGGTACAGTTCCCTTCGGAGCTAGCGGGAAAATACGTTTGGTCGTTATATAGATAAGTATAAATTGGCCCTCGTGAGATTAATTATTCATCCTTTAGGATAAAGTAGGGGGATCACTTAGAATTATAATTGCAGCGCTAACAGCTGCGATCGTAATGATAAGAAATGTGGCGTATGTTTATAAACTGCATGTAATGAACAACAAACGATTCCATAACCAGCTATAAAGGAAATAGCTGCTCTAAACGTACGTAGTACCTGTCAGCAACCTACGGCTGTGACCTTCCTTGTAGAAGCTACGGGAAATTCAAACACGTCATATGAAAGGGGCTGTACAGGAAAAACGTAACTTTCTCCTATCGCGTGACCTTTTTATCGCGTTTACTAAAAAAAGAAGCGTCATTTTTTTTTGCTCTGCTGTCGGAAGGTTGTGCGACCTTTTCGAACTTCCGGTGACGCTTGAAGTTCTTAAGGTATCTTGCTATTGATGTCATACATAAAAAAATCTAATATCTAAACTCTCAATATGTATAACTTAATATCAATGAGGATCAATCTACCTGTAAGTATAAGTCCTATTAACGACTCCGTTCACTTGTTAACAAGACTATATTGAATGAGAACTGCAGTACACAAATCTAAGACCACATAAACAGCAGCTGAATTGTTATATATGCCATATTATACATGTGTGTGTGACACCATACGCAACATGGCTAGAGGTTATCGGGCGGTTGGGGCCCGCTGCTTAGCTTGACTCTGGCTATTACTGAAATAATCTAAGTTTCAAAGGGCACCTGAAGTGCAAGGAACGCGCGAGCCCAGCTTTGAAGCATTACGCCGTCTCACTGAGGGCAGCTTCTGCTAGCCTATTGTTTGCCTGCTCGTGGCCTGATACAATAGATTTAGATATGAAACGGAGCCGAGATCCGTCCCGCGCCCCTGGTATAAGGTACCGTCAATGTCTCGGCTATCTCTTTCGGTGTAGGTCGACATGTGTAGTCAACTCGTTGTTTGGCGTCGTGCGACTGGAACGGGCGGAGGGTTAGCAGGATGTCAGAAGGGACGAATACTTCTGGGTTTGTCTCGATCTGATTTGAGTGAATTCTGAGAATTATCAAGAGAAGCAGATGGTAGCTGGCTAAGCGTCAACTACGACTTGTTATACCAACTTCCATTAAGCTTGTCGCCCGCATGGCAAGTAACTTACAGTTTAAAAGTACACAGTAATAATGCGTAAGGTGCGCGAAGACGGCAGGGTTCTATAGCATCGATGCCAGTCGACATACAGACGTCATATCGATTGATTATGCCCGGGAACAACGAGATGTTGGTGGAAATTCTAAACGACGTCTGCTCAACAAGACAGAAGTAGCCTCTAATTAAATGGGTTGCAGATTACGCATTCGGCATTGTTTGGGCTATGGTACTATTGATACATAGCTGGACCAATAGGAAGTGATAACGCAGATCAACAACAAAAACAACCACAGCCAATTAATTACATTTCTGTAAAAATGCGGTGAAAACAAATCTCAATATGTGATAACGCGTTTCCTGCAATACTTCATCGGATATTAGTACAATGGATGTTATAAAGGGCCAGTAGGTTACGTACGTATATCGAGTTATCCAAGATTTCTTTTATAATGGTCTACACAATTTTACCCTATATTAAAAGGCAGCCAGTGATCTACATCATGTTTAATACATCTATACGTCCAATTTACTGTATTTACCTCTGCAGGTTGAAAACCAAGCTAGCCCGAGTTATTGCTCTGGCAAAGCGTACGGCATCATCTGATGTTCAGACCGTGAGCCAACTTCGTTATCATGAGGATAGTTTACGTCAGTTGCCAAACGGGACCCTAACACCGCAAGCAATTGGCGGCGGCGGCGGCGGTGGGCGCGAAAGAAAGATCGTCAGTGCAGCAGGAATTGGCGGTGGAACATCATCGGGCCCAACCAGTTTTCAGGTTGGAGGGGTAGCCCTTTCTGGGGCAGCACCGTTCGCTGGAGGAAACAACCCCCGACCTCAGAGTTCCCTCATTATAAGCCGGGCCCGCAGCGCGACACGCGGTCGTATGGGTGCCGCGAGTGCAACAGCTCGCTCGCGGAGTCGAACAGCTAATAATTCTGGCATTGATGGGGTCAGTTTGGGTCTGCTCGAGGAAGCTCACAACGAGATATGCGCCTTGTAAGTATCCTTGGTAAGCAGATGTTTGCTGACAGCGCAACCCATCTACCTGATCGACAATCTGTTCGAAGAGGGTAGCCGTGGGAAGCCCCGGCCGGTTGAAGTGACCGGAGACAGATACGCCTATACATAAAGATACATCCCTGTGTATATAAGACATATGTCTATGAATGGATGCACGGACACAATTGTCTAAAGATGTACGGGCGTGGAAAGTGGAGTATTGTTTTGTTTGGCTTTCTTTTTCTTTTGTCGTTATATTGGTATACATGAGATCCTATAATTAGCGTCCACAAGTTACGTACGTAGCACGGTAGTAGTTACGTGCGCAGTATGTCCCTTCTTATATGAGAGAGTTGAATAACATCAAAAGTTGGTGCAGTGTACAAAAGATTTATTGCGGTGATATAAAGTTGGTCCTTTCCTTTTAGATGTTCTATTATATCAGCTCTTTATTTAGGCGCCTGTACGACTCGATCATGACGGCAACTTAGGGAATAGAATATGACGATCGTTATATGAAAAGATAGTGGGACGTGTATGTACAACATGAAGAAAGATTTACTAGCGGTAGATATGTTTGTATTTAAAAGACAGCTGACATTCAACACGAGCTATCTTCGGCACCGATAAATTCCTGGGTTACCGTCTTCGCTAATATCGCAGTATTCTATATCAAGGTTAAGGTGCTTGATGCACCTTAGATTTATGTATTAAGTCCATAACAATTACGTGTCAACTGTATTAGTCTAAGTATTCGCGACATTAGCATACTATAAATACTACGACATTCATCACGCAGACAAAACTGAACAGTAAATGCAACACCAACCTTTCATCTTGTAGCATCATCTATCATCCCCTGTTGCCCTATCTGCGACAACGATGCCCCTAACGACAATGATCTAGTAAGAAGCCGTGTCCGTCACAGTATTAGTTTGCACGCCCATACTTCCCTCCTGCCGTTTCGTGCCCTTCTGTTCTCTAGTCAGTTAAACCGCCATATCGGATGCTATAAAGCGAAAGACAAAAGCAGCTTTATTTGTTCGAGGGGCTCACTAGTTTACCCAAGCTTAGCGGACGGCTTGGTATCGAACTCTACGTCAAACGAACTGCCCGAGCGTCAGCATCTATAAGTCGCTTCTGTTGCTTCTAAGCCCGATTTCCGGTTTTCGTCCGCACCGCCATTAGGACCTCTATTAAGCCAGCAGCTTGTTCCCCACACTCCAAGTTGTAACAGATTGCTAGACTACTCGTCTACTCTACTCCTCGGATATACAAACCGAGAAATACAGCCGTACGCCTACACCATCATTACTCCCTATTCTACCCCCTTCTCCTTGTCCTTTTTTATTCGAAAACGTAACGTGCAGCGTCTGCGGGCCTGTAGGCCTTCCGTTGCCGGCCAGCCGTTGGTTGATTGAAAGCCATGTCCCAGACTACCGTTAGTACAATCAACCACCAAGCAAGCCAAAAATAGTAGAATAGAGTAACTGATTAATCACATAGCCTGATTCATTGGATGTGCGCGCGCACTGTTCTCTAGCCAGCAGTCGTCAAAACCAACGTATGTGGCGCGGCATAAGGCTAACGCGGCGGAGCAAAAATCGACCGGTGTTTGAGGAGTAGCACCAGTCTGCTACTTGACTCTGAATTGAAGGTTGGCTTTTCCAAAGTCGCTATTGCAGTTTCCCGAGAGCCAAGTTAAAGCGCACCGCCTTAACATGTTTCAAGCAATCCCAGAGACCCCGAAAGCCAACTCGCCTAAAAAATTATGTGCTTTCCTTTTGTTATCATTGGTCGACGTCCTCGCCGACCGGTCTATCGGACCGTTTGAAGGTTTGCCGTGTAAGCTTTAGACTGGAGAAGACTGAGGGCCGGCGAGTTAGAGAGTACGTAAGTGAATGACGTGAAAGTAGTGCCCCCGTCCCCAGACTCGCGTATGAAACTCAAAAACCATCTTACAATTGAAAGCTGAGACCTGGCTAGTTGCCGCGAAGCGCCAACAAGATTTGACGTACACTACGACAACACGAAGGAATCAATTGACATCACAACCGGCGAAGGCAGTAGAGAGTAGGGATAAATACTATTGAAGGAGCAAAAGGAAAGCGTTGGGGCAAAGGCGAGATAGTGATACTATGGACTCTGAAGCCCTGCTATTGAAAAAAGCAAAGTACGTCTGTTGGGTTTGCCCAACTAATGTGAATCCTCTTATTTTTCTCGATAGTCTGCCACGATCAGGTGGCCTAACGGAGCATGAAGGCCAAGTACGACTAAACGCAATAAGTACGAATAGGCTAAAAGTTATTGCCGAATAAGAAGACATAGTTAGTTGTTGTCAGGTGACTTTTAGTACTGTCTGTTGCTTGTCTATGGGTATGTTTCCGTTTGTGGGTAGCGCGAACCCAGGGGCCTTAATGGGGCAATAACCGGTAAGACTACGATGTTAAACATCCAAGTATAAGGTATTGTGGTTAGATCACAGAATAAATCGAGAGAAAAGGCCGACCCGTGGCTATAGACATGCATAATATAATGTCACGATGACCAAACACGCTTGGTAAAGTACGCAAACCATTAATATAGCGAAACTGGATTACTTGCCACTCTCGAACAGGCGGGAAATGGAACCGACAAAAACAGAAGGGATGCCTCACCATGCAATGTGGCTAATGTTTTGCCAATGGCATCGAGTGCACTTTGCTAACACAAACCATCGAAAAGTGTCGTGCCAAGAGATCTATAATAATATGGTTATACCAGACTTCGTTATTTGTTACTTGCGGCGCTAACGACTTATTAACGTCGCGCCGTAAAAACAGCTTATTCCACATACAGTGCAGACTGCACTTATTATACAAATGTCAGGCACCAAAGTAGCGCGATTTTGTAGTATAGGTTCGTATGTGCTTCTTTTGGGGTTGGGATGTTTTTATCTTGCGTTAATTTAAATAAACATAAATTACATCCTAAACTATATGCTGTTTTAGTACAATCGAATAAATATCAGTCCTTTTATTAGGACCCAAGCTCTTGTTCTCACTAAAATCCATTTACTTGCACCGCTTTTGGTGCTTTGTATTCTGTCTCATATAATTTAGTGCATAAAAAGGGCTCGTTAAAGGAAGGAAGGAAGACCTGGGCAGACTTATGCTCATAATAGCGTCCTCTTGTAATGCACTCTAATAACGTCCTGATCGCTATTCTTTGATTCTCTCATAGTCATTGAGGTCTCTGCGTGTTTGTCTGTGCCTTACTAATCCTCTTGAGATAACCAATCCTTTTGTCTTCTATTAACTCACCGCCTTCAATGTCCCTATTGCCAACATTTTTGACTTTGATCGGACCGAACGTGCACACCAGTCGAGGTAGTTTTCTGGAACTTGATAAAGAGCTGCCCAGGCGAAAATGAGTGGCAGGCATGACCAGTCATCGTGAACGACAGCAGTATCCATGTGTTGGTGCTTGCCGTATCAGCGCCTCTATCGTTCTTGTGTCGAAAGATTCCAAATAAGTTGGGCAAATAAACCTGACGTTAGTCTTAACATATGAGGTCTCGTACCTCAGGCGTGAAAAACCACAAATTTCGGTTACCTGTCACATCTACAGGCATTAGACGTTTAATTTTTTTTACAAACACACACACACACATATATATATATATATATATACTGTAGACGTGTACTATTTACTATAGACATGCCTTCACCTAAAGTCATGTGAAAGCGTTAGAAGCACTATAGACAACCATTTATAATAAAATTAGAAACGTCACTTTGACTAGCTAAGAAATGCGTTTAGGCTGAAAATATAAGAAATATTTATCAGTGAGTATGCATATTTACCGCTGTCGATTCAGGAAAGCGGAGGTCAAACGGCGTGAAGAAGAAGTTCGCGAATGGGAGACAGTTGCCCAAAAGTTAAACTGTGAACTCAGTTCAGAGCGAAAACTACGCTCGGAAGCAGAGCAAGAAGTTTCAAGGACCCGAGTTGGTCTCGTCAAAGCGCACAAGGAGATACAAATCAAAGGTATTTCTTTTTTGGGCAAAAACTATTCAACTTATAAATCACATCTAAGATGGCCGTGTCTTTTGTCGCCTCGGAGCCGTCTACGTAAATACAAATAGTCTAATCCCCTGATCTATTGGATGAGGAAGGTCCTGTTATGAACAATGCTCTCGTATGAATAACAAGCGACGCAAATTTTTTTTCCGCGTTATCAATTTATAAGCGAGAGGTAATTTCGTATATTAAAATCTTGCCAATCATATTATAGTGACATATATATAACACGCCAATTAACCGGTGTGAGAAATTGTTATACATTTAGTATTCTTAGCTTAAATTTAGCATTTTTAGAGATGAGGGTTGTCGCAAACCTGCGCTAGTGCGTGAAAGAGCCACTGGATACAGGGATACAATCTGCGCTTATGGCAATTACGTTTTCGGTGTATTCTGAATGTGTCCTACCATATACGCTTGCTAAACCTTACTGGGAGGTAAAATGTTTTGAGAGGCGCTGAATCACTATTGGGACGAGATCCGACAAAAATTAACAAATCGTGTACTTGAAAAATTGCATCAACGATTCATTTTTCCTCAACTGCGCCATATAAAGGGACAAGCGAAATTCGATTTAACAATATGCGGAGCCATCATACGAGCACAACCCAATTACTTCTTTCTACCACAGACTGTGTGGTAGCTTTGGCTAGAGTTGGGGTACTTTCGGTACTCGACACTTACATCCTTCTATATTTTTTTTCTTTTATTTTAATATAAGAAGGATTTTTTTTTATTATTTTTTAATGCTCAGAAACCCAGGTTGAGGCTCTTGAGGCTGAGATGGAAGCCTGCCGGCTGACTCGTGAGAAGGTTGACACGCAGAACGCCAAACTGCTTGAGCTCGAGCAAGCCATGGCCAAGAAAGAAAGCCAAGAGTCGTTACTGCAGGAGGTTTGTACTTACATACGTTTTGTAGCCATGGATCCTATGACTCATTTCGTCACGAACAAATAACTGAGGCATTTCGTTAGAATACATCCAGTTAATCATTTTGCATCCAATTTAGGCATTTTCTGTATATCCCTTTGAATTCTCGTGTTTCCAAAGCATGACCTCAAAATAGTATACAGGGTACACTTGCTTGTTAAACGCAATAGTTTATGCTTAAGTGCTGCATATTTACTTTGTTTTCATTACGATGTGCGTATAAAGGCCACGTCATTCATGGGTAGCTCTGACCATACAAAGCTAGGCCAACAACGCTTCACTAGGTTTGATTACCTAACAGGCTGCGGGGTAACTCGTACTACCTTAGCGTTTGATGTATCCGCAACGATATTACTCATATACACAATGCATGTATAGCAAAACAACTAGAAGGCTACCTCTTGTCCAGCGGGCGGGTCCGATAGATGGAACAGATCCGAACGTTAACGTCGATTCGTGTGCGATGGTGTGCGTGAACCATGGGATGCTTGATAGATAGCCGATTATATTTGCTATGGCGCTAAGTGGCGAAAAAGGTATATCCTTATAGGACAAACAAGAATGGCCAGATTTTACCAGCTGGACGCCCGTACGGGCACGCATGCCTACAGAACGGTCTGTTCGATGTCGATAATGTGTACACTTATAAACAGTAGTTTAGGGGACGTTTACGGGAGTTTACGGGAACGGGAGTTTGATTTTACGGCTGAAATAAGTTTGCCTCAAATTAAGGATTCGAATTAGTTGTTTACCTTTAATTAGATCATATAAATGTATGAAAAAAGCTTTTCGTTATCGAATTCAATACCATTTTATAAATAACAATTTACTTTAGTTTTTAGGTTCGTTAATACAAAGTATATGTGGAATAGGTTAGACTCGTTGACAATACGCCCAGTTCTCTGCCTCTAAAGTACCAATAATTATATAGTCATAATAATAATAACGTGCTCATTTTATTTAAAATTACCCGATACATTGCGCTAATACGCAGCATGGCATTTTAATAATATGTTTATAGCGTTAACGGGAAAACGCGTTACAATACAATCTCTGAGCTCAAATTTGCATTGGCAATTAACGCACACGACCCAATTTGTCGATGTATGTTTTCCTCTGGCGCACGCCCCATAGCACGGCAATCGGTTGCAAAGTCTGTTCCGTTCCCCAAGGCCGAAAGCCACTCCTAGAGAATCTTATGGTTATCGTTTGTACAGCCATAAAACGGAAGGGCTACACGAATACACGCATGGTTACAGAAAGAGGGGGAAAACTCGTTGCCTATATACCCATATTTTGGGCCGTCACACGCGGCGATTATTATAACAACTACTGTCAGCGTTATTCTGCTTTCGTTTATTTTGATTACTTTAGTTGCAGCAACGAATCGGTGAGCTCGAACGTGAACGTGACATCGTTGAAGATTCAAATCGAAAACTTGTTCGACAAAGTGAAGAGCTCAAGGAGCGCATGGCCGCACAGGAACAACGGTCATCTACAGCGGGCGAAGGACTGGCAACTGGCGATTCAGCGACACACGACTCCATCGTGCACGCATCAACCGATGAGGACCTGGGCGGAAGCGCTCTTCTGCAAGATATGCTGCTGCAGTTGCAGGGTAGGTCACGGAGGACACACAGGTTAACTCGCGGGCCATAGGTTGCCTGGCTTGTTGGCTTAGGGATGGTAATGCAGGAAAAGCGAGTCCTCGGAAAATTGCTTTTGGTAGTATAGTTCGAAGTGCTAGTTATATTATAGTTCTGCTCATACTAAGAATAACGAGATATGGAGGGTACATACCAAGGGAGTGCGGGAAAAACACAAAGAAGAATAGACGAATCTTGCGGCATTTATTGGCCTATTCTGCTAAAATCCAGCTATTCGGATCGACAGTAACGAAATAGCAAGATAGTTGTCAATCCCCCCGAAGGTGAGTTGGAAAGACCTACAGGAAAATGTATATAAAATAGAACCGTTGGAAGAAGTAAGAGGTGAACTAGCTGATCTTTAGAAGAGGTCCTGGATGCAGGTAATGCGGAACACAGAACGGGAAGAGGCGTGGGTAGGTAGTACTCTTACCCAGCGAGGAAACTGGGCGAGCCACCGAACGACCACGTTTACCAAGGCTGAGCTCAAACCGTACCACCGTTCGTTGTTGGGTGCTTACGTATTTGCCCAACTAAGCCTAGCTATTGTCTAGACTAAATAACACCCCCTAAAGGAAAAAAGGACACGACGAATGGAGGTCGGAAAAAGGCCACCTCGTAGACTGCCGGTAAGCGGATATAAGCATACAGAGACAGCACAAACGTTGCATTGCTTAGCTGCATCCGTTAGCTAGGCTTCTACCTAGTTGTCCTGTAAGAGAGGAGCGAACGCACGCTACCGCGTCTGCAGCCGACTGCCTCGCAGGCAACGGACGATCTTGTCAGCAAATCGCACGGCACACGCGATGTCTGCCGAATCGAAGTACCGGCAACTAAAACGAAAGGACGATATAGGCACCAGATCGACAACTATGTTAGCGATTAGGAAAGCCTGGGAAAATCTGCAGATGCCTCCCTTGGTGGCTTTCTGGTTAGAATTTAGATACAGTTAGACAACTGGAGACTTCTTATAGACCAACGCTTTAACGATGTGTTCCTAGGATACGTAGCAGTAGTAGAAACTGTTCTGGGTTGGTAGATAGTCGGCGATGTTGCTTTCCCCCTTTTCACTTGTTCTGCAAAGAGTACACAGCGAGACAGTGGATTACCCTGATAATCTACGTTGAAGAATTGAATCCGCTTTCGGTTCCTGCCAAAAGACGCTACGCCTAAACAGGAATGACGTAACAAAACAACAAGCAGTGAACTATGGTGTTATATAGAGAGCGGCTATTTCCACTTCGTCTTGTTATGGTGACCGGTGCATCATGCTGGAATTAATAGAACCGAACATGCTTGTTTGATGTATTATAGTGTTCCATTTCGTAGCCGAAAATCATTGTGCAAACGAGTCCAATAAGCGAAGTGCGGGTAAGCCGATAAACGTAGCCTTCCAGGTTGAAAGATATGATAGCCACGTATATATGGTGCATTGTATGAAAAACGAGGACATCGCTCTAAAATAGGTTTAGCAATCATTAGAGATTTTTTCTGATACCAACTCACCAGAAAAAAACAAGAACATGTACTAACTATTATCTTAACGTGTGCCCGAATTATCAAGAAATAAATAAGGTAAAACGGTAGGTAGGTCGTCTCTCATAATTCGCAAGTTAGTTGCTTCTAAACTAAAAAAAAATACCTACAACAATCACAAATCGTAAGTATCCTTGTAATATTATTATAAAACGATGTTGCATTATGCGAATGTTCGTATTTGCTTTTTCATTTTTACTTGTATTTATTTTTACCTATTTATATTCGGTCAACTACATGTAATTTGTCTGTGAGCAGATAAATTTGAAAATCTTGAGCGGCATATCGAAAAGGTGGTCGAAGATGCCCGGAGAAGTAGGTCAAAATCGTCGAAAAGGCATAGCAAGGAATCTAGCAGAGAATCCCAAGCAAACGGATCAACAGGTAGAAACCTTGATAGGGAACGGCGTCGGGAACGCCCGAGTGGACTGAAAGCAAAGTCCGACGGCGTACGAACGGTCAGAGATCAGAAAGACGGATTCAGGAGCAATTCCGATCCGCGAAACACATATGAGCTAAATGGCATTTACAGTACAGACAACCCCCGTCCGACTATGCAAGCTGATAATTTGAGACATCAGCAGCGCCACCATTATCAAGAACCTAAGCAAAGGCTTCCATCCGGATCAGCTTTGTCAAACGGTAAATCTAAAACCTCCTCACAATAGTAGCTTCGCTGAATTAGTCCATTAGATCTTCCGTTGATCCTTATATATCTTAATAGATTTCGTAAATTATGACAAAATCGAAAAAAGGCTTAAGAATAAACTTCGTTTAACGTCTTATTTCCTATTACGTGATCAAAACTTAGCCGACAGTGATAGAAGTGAAACTAATATACCTTAAGTCAGTAAAGCAATTAAGGACATCTCGATTTAGTAATCAAAAAGCAACTTTCGAAGCGTCTATATAACAATACGTCCGTACGTTACGGATGCTTCAATATGTGCTCTTCTACTGTATAACGTTTTCTTACTGAAGTGATGGGTTTCATGTCTAGGTGCTATAAAAACCAGGCCCAGTAAGTGTGATCCTCGTCCCACAATATGACACATCTAGTACAGGAACAATGTGATGCCGCGTGCAAACATTTCGAGCGGCACAATCAACAGAAAGCACAACGATAGAGCAAAAACGCTTTTAGTTTAATCGGTAACCATTTGTCGCCGCGGATGGTTTAGTTAGTTAAGAGACGTACCCATGGTTCAGCCCTGTGCAGCAACGTCGATATGCTATAAGTTAGAGCAAGAAGCCCCTTCGGTGGGGACTTTCCGATAGCTTGGGACGAGCCTGAAGTAGCTTGTTTTTTTCACACTAGCGTGGCCTGTGCTTTACCCAAAAAGGCAGAGTTAGCGAGTAGATGCTGACGTAACACGTGATAGGGTTCTTCCACGAGTCGACGGCGCCTTATATACAAATTATGTTCGCTGTCCTCTCTTCCACCACTAGTACATAATCTTGTGTCTTACCTAAGCCCATACCTTGTCCACTACATTTTCGTCTTTGGCCTAAATTACGTTTGTTTAAATCGCTGATCGTTGCTCACAACCACATTAAGTTTATGTTAAATATATCCATGTCTGATTATGCACTTAGGCATACCAGAGAGAAGGGATACTTAGGCTTACAAGAGGATACCATTCAGTGCATTTTTATTAGTTAATTTGCCAGCGGCGCAATAAGCGGGGACATGCTCGCAAGCGCGTAAAATTTTTATTAATTAAAAAGCGGATTGAAAAGGTCGTTGTTAATACTCTAAATATGTTTCTATTTGCTTGAATGTAATTGTTCGCTCATTTCAAGAAGTCGACTTCGACACGCCCTATCGCCAGAGTTTGGTTTAGGGTTTTTTTATCGATTAAACGAAAAACTTTTCTATTACTTATTATGGTCATTGGAAGACGAATAAATCCTACGTGCATATACTTATTATTAAGGCTCGAGTGTGCCCTTGCCCAAACCTCGACGGCGATTATTAATCCAACAACAACAGAGTTCCGTTGAGGAGTCAACGAGTTCCTTGCGCGAGGGTCCTGACAACATGGACCATCAGGACAATAGCATGTTAGGCAATGCAGGCTTGAATCACGATGACAGCGACAGCGGCAGTAGCCGGCTGCATCCACGTCGAGCTGGTACGGCCGTCGGCTATCAGAGGGCAGCACTCGTCAAAAACGAGGCGACACAAACCAGTCGGTGAGTACTGGCAATAACCTTGCTCAGCTCAGACCCCAAATCTTCGCCTAATAGCTGCCAACACTCGGGGGTGAACTAAGTGTCAATTAAGTGGCTTCCTTTATTTGCATGCGGTATATTGTGTAACTGTTGTTACTACAAGATAAATGATTCTGTTATATATGAGTTATATATGGTCATCCAGATATATCTATCGTAATCATTAAGTAGTAGATAATATGAAGCATTTAGATAAGTTGTACTAGACAAAATAGCATTTCTATGCAACACTCAAACGGAACGAAGAGATTAGATAGAGATTATTTCCATGCATATTCAATAGGCTCAGATCGGTTACTTACCGCAGTAAATAACTCTGAGTGTACGAACGAGAAGAGCTAACGAGCTCTATTACTCTAATTATTTTTATATTTAGACGACAAAATGAACGATGTGATATGGCCATTCAGAACTGTGTCATGATATGTTTAAAAATACAATGAACATAACTAAAATGGCCAATATAAGTAACGTTACGCAGTTTTCCATTGAGTATATCCTATCAGTGGTTGTTTTTCGTCTACTTTTTCCTTCTCATCCCTTCTGTTCTTTTATCTCCGTCACCCCTTATCAACAACTGCAGATCATCCGAGCAGCAGAGTTCGTTCATGTCGCCCTCCGGCCCCTTTAGCGCACTACATCATCATGGTCCCTCAAGATTAAAGCAGACGACAAAAATCCTATCGGTGAGTTGCCGTTCTTAATCCAATTTAAACCTGCTTTTTCAGGCGACAATCTCGATCCCTTGCTTCCTACTGTCCTCTAGCTATTCGCGTTGCTTATACGCTGAATGAAAGCAGTCGGTTGGCGGGTCGCTGTTTACTTCCAATAACGCCGATCCGAACTTTTATGACGCCCTCGTATACCGGGATTCGAGGGGTTGTGACGCCCGAACAGGAACTAAGGCGGCATTTGAAGAACAACTTGCACAGCCACTCGAGACGGTGTCATCCTCCATCATTACGACTTTCCTCGACGCGTTTTCCGGCGAGGCATTTTAAAATAGTTTCACTCATAGACGCACTACATCTGGCAGGCGGGTTGCAGCATTTTCGTATGCGTCAGGAAGCCCCTTTTGTCCCTCCGAGTGGGGTGACGACGGCGAGGCAACCCCTACCGGCTAACTTTGCCATTATGATATACCGTCCCGTCTGACGAAGTGGTAGAAGCAGGCCTGCTAGGACAAGTTGTGTGGTCAATACTTTTGCTTTAATATTCTAAATCCCTAGGCTGCCAACGAGTTTACTGCTTAGTTTTCACCTTTCTTGCGTTCTTGTTGTTGTTCCTGTTTGTCCGGTATTATCGATGCTGCACCCCAATGTCTTCTGTATGTCACGATGGGTTCGACTTCGTGCTTTCAACTCGAACAGAGTGACGATAGCGTGAGTGAGATGACGGAGCTATCGTTAGCGGATAGCTCTGCACCGCACTTCGAGATACATATTGACAAGGTAGGCTTATTTTATTTAATGTTGGTTATTGTAGAAGAGATGCATTTGGTGGTGATCATACCACGTTGCTGTCCAAATATGGGCGCCTTAATACGAAAAAAGGTCCCCACGATACAGATCGGCTGTAGTGAAACCTTATAGAAGCGACATTAAAATGAAAAGTGAAGTTTCGTTTATGGATGCGGTTGTTTATAGGCAACACACACTACTATACTTACAGAGAAACAAATCGTATGTACTTCTGGTTTTGTATTCAAAGTTTTACTGGGTAGCTGCTGGGAGCATGCTGTTAATTAAATTTTTCATAAAATAAATAATAATTGTAGTATTAACAAAAGCCATTGGCACGATTTTGTGTTGGCGCTGTTTGCCACTTGACTCTAATGCATTGACGAAAAAGCCGTTTGCTTATAGCCATCTCAACCGGCCACAGTCTGGTACGCGTATTTCAAGCTGAAACATTTTAAGGACGGATTGCCCATACGTAGGTAATTTAAATTATAATGCCATATTAAAATGAATTGAAAAGAAAAATATATTTTCAAGTTAAATATTGACACCCCGTAGCCATATGCCAATCAGTCCATTACATACAAGCTACGTCTTCATACTTAGTATAATAATGACTATGGCTTCGTCAATGCAATCCTTCCTATTATACAAATTCCAAAATATACTTCCCCATCTTATATTTCAAGCACAGTACATCATAACTTTTTGTGGCAGATCACCTCTGCTAGGTAGCTGGCAAACCCCAAAAGCTCTCTCTTGTCTATCTCAGCACCTTTATATTACTTGTAAACCGTTCAATCTCTCAAATACGAGCCAAGCCGGGCGAGAAGAGAGGGTAGACGTGGGGAATAGACGGGGGTAGGCGATCCAAAAATAAATTGTATCACATTGCCTGGCTCGCATCACCCACTAACGCGTAAAACAAGGAAGCCCTTAGCGAATTTATTCGACGGCAGCTCTAGGTCTCATCTTAACCGTCAGCGAATCGGTTGCCGACCCACAGTGGTTTTATCGCGAGTGACCGGATACTCGCGGGCACTAGATGCCCCCTCAAAACAGCTGAAAGATCTGTTATATATATTTGAATAGTCAATATATGTTACACAGGTTTTGTCAGTAAACAATTGCAGCAGGCTATAAGTAGAAGCACAAAGGTTCGGGGCGATAGGAATACTAACTGGGCAAACGCGGGATAGTGCGTGATAAGCGTATGCCCTCGCCCCCTGGTTGCGCTAAATAGAGTGCAACCCAAAAGGGTTATCCAAAAGGGGTCGTGTGTCTGTCCCTCGACATTTTTGGATTGAGCTTCTGGATTAGAGGGTAAGAGATCATAGTATTTGGGGCGTGACGCAACGCATTATTGTTTATCGAAATACAAACAGACAAAAGTCATCTGAGCTACCAATCAACGATAGTGCGTTGACAGATGAGCGCAAACTATGACGATTATATTTAATAACACGGAAAGGGGTTTTGTTACAAGTAGTAGTTTCGTATGTTGGGGTTCACAGAAATATATGCTCTCTATTACAGGCTCACTTCTCGGTCGCCGAAGGAATTTCTTTGCTGGCCTTGGCCAAGCGAAACGTGGTCGTCACATGGGAGCTGGCCGATTTTGAAGTTCAATCAACACCAGTCGGGCATCTGTGTAAAGAGAATGAAGAGCTCGTGTTCAACTGTACGGCGCGGTACATCTTGGAAGAAGAGCGACAGTTAGCTGGAGCCAATCTTCATTTACAGGTAGTCACCGCCGATGGAGAGGTGCTTGGCGAGTGCGTCATCGACGTTAACGAACTTCAGCAGGTGCTGCGAGAACCTAGAAAGAAGCGCGCGCACAGGTAACTATATCACTACTGTGGTTATAACTCGCTGCTGTAGTTATAACTGTCATCGCTAGTATCATTTGAAGACGTTTACTATTTTGAACGGCAAATCGCATACCTCGCAAACTAAGCGCGAGCACCTGAAAAACCTATCATAGACAGCTTTTTGGATGGGTGAAGTTTGGAGATATATTTTTGGAAAAACAAAAAAGAAGCAATGAGAACCCGTACGAACGCGCTACATAGAAAATGCATAACTTTATGCATGAACCACAAGCGATATTGTAACTTGACCAAGATGACTTTTTCCTACTAAAAAGATATTTTTCATTTTAGAATAAGAATATTAGAATAGCTTAGCGTATTAGCCTTTATTTGAAATCCGTCTAAATCGTTGCTTTAGCGGGTGCCACCATCGCTACTGTCGCTGCATCATCAGCCTTTATGGATTCCTATCAATTACGTTATTTCTGATTTGTTATTAAATTTCACGTTATTTCGATGCGAAGCAGCGGGTGATTGTCAGCCGCTCTTTTACCATTGCCGTTAGAGTTATCCTTATCCTTGAAACTGCAGGAGGTATTGGAAATGAACCCTGCGAGCATTAAGATCTGCCGCTAAGCCTGAACTATCTTTCTATAGCATCCTGACGTACTGTGGCACTCTTGACACCGATGCTTGCTCTGACTAAAATTCGAATACGAGCAGATGGGCGAAGAACGAGATCCGGTGCATTATTTGTCTTCGTACGCCGAGCAAAATGCAAGGGTATATACGGTTATTGAAACCGGGGCCGAGTCGACTAACGTTACCATTGTGGCCGCTGTCACCCTGGGATTCAAGTCGTACGAGGCACTTAGACCTTAAGTGCATAGGTTAAAGAACGTTGTGTATTGGGTGTCCGCCGTACGAAAAGTGAAGCGCAACACTAGTGGAATCGCGCGTAAACATTATTACGATACCCTAAAGAACAGAAGCTGACTGCAAACGAGGAACAAGGCGAAGGATATACAGAAAACCACTAATCGGGTCGGCAACCTGATAAAATATCTTGTTGAGCTGGCGACAGAAAGCAGTAGCGGTGTCAGTGCCTCGAGCTCCAAAGAATGCAGCCGACCCGAATTCTGCTAAAGAATTCCGTCTCTCTCGGAACCCTTAACCCATTTGTGCACTAGTGATGGTGACATTGTTGCCAGGCAGAGCTGCGTCTAAGAGAGTTTTTGCTGTTACTGGTAAAATTTCATCTTTAGCTGAAACAATGTAGGTATCGCTGCAATTTCACCTTAGTGGCCAGCATTGCCATTGCTCTGGTCAGTTATGTATCCATCGCTCTAAGCCAGTGAGTGCTGCGTTCTCACACACAGATACACCGCAACGTATCTTTATTGTTGTAAATGACATCGATTTCCTATACTGGAAGAGCGCGGGAGCAAGGACGGGCTTGTAGGAAGAGACTACGCCCTCTTGATAAAGAAAGAAGGGCTCTATCGAAGAAAAAGGCCGATGTGTGCAGACGTGGGACTGATGGAAAGGTACAGTAAGTAGTACGCATGCGAGATCTGCTTATGGGATTCCCGGTCTCGACCTCAGCTTCCTGTGAAGAGAAACATAAAATTAACAAGGTAGAGCCGTAACCACACCGCAAGTCACACGAAAAAGTTAACATATTTATTGAGTCAAAACGGGAACTATGAACTTTAGGGGGCATCGCTGTAAAGAAGGAAAAGGTGGCAATATCTATCACCTTCTAAAGAATAGGGAAGAATCTCCACCACGCAACCACCTTACTAATAGTGATTTGCCTATGTTTGCCTTATGGTTTCGACGATAATCTACACATAGAGTAGGTTGAGTATTTTTCAGAAATAAGGGCAACCGCGCAAAGGATGAAACGGGAACAGGATGTGAAAAGAGAACGGGTAAAATAAAGTAGATGTTCGACCTGGGTCAAAGGCGTGGAAGAGAAAATTGTATTGAGATATACAGCACGCTATGGCACATAGTCAATGCGTAATGGTAATGTGACGTTCTGTACTATGAAAGGCGAGCCAAGCAGTGGGTAGAGGAAATAACGTAATAAATAGATTGTTTCTTCACACTTCAGAGAAACTTCTCCTTCTATTTTTATCCTTCTTATTGACGTTACTTTGATGGTTTCTTTTTGCAGCGCTAATTTAGGACGGGACAGAGTAGTCGTCGGCACCTTAGAGCTGTGGCTACGATACATTCCAAGACCAGACTAGGACCAGGCAGATGTCGTTGCAGTCAAAAGTCGAAGCGGCTCGAGGGATCTACGCCGATTTACGACGACGCCACAGTAGGATTGAAAGTGGACGCAACGGCATGACATATTAGGACATATAGTTGCGTAGCGAGCTGGCTTAGCCCACTAGCGTTGCTCGTGTGGCTTCAGCAACGAGCTTTCGTCACATATTACCCTTTTGTCTGCTCTAGACCAGCCGCTGTGCAAAGCGAATCAAAGCGACGGGCAGAAATGAAGCGTTATGCTTGGTCTCCAACTTGGACGGTCGGATAGACAGGAAACCAGAGAGAAGCCTGCACCAACCAGCGTTCTTTAAACAATGGTACCGCGCTATAGACTACGAAGCGAGCAGGCGCCAATACACCTGCTACCACTTTTGTGTGTGGTCAGAAAAGCAGCACGCTCGAGCAGCCGAGCCCGCCGGGCAAGGATCACGTCAGGCATAATAGAACCAGCGGGAGATATCAAACAATGACGTCGGTTGAAATGGGTGCCGAATCACCACGTTGGGTATGACAGTTACAACAATGGTAACAGCAGTAGCTGGAGTATAATAGGAAGAGTGGATTATAAAATCGAGAACTCTAATACCAAAGTTTTACAGTGTACAGCAGGCCTCAGCTTCAGGCGAGAACAGCTGCGGAGAGAGAGCTGGTTGGCTTGTTGACGTCTGCGAGTTCCTAGTAGAGAAAAATTTTTTTGAGTTCTTTTAGGTCTCCGAGGCTACCATCGGTCATAGCCCTGCCGCTATACGGGGGACGTCGATTCTGTGAAAGTTGACTCGAAGCGCTTTGATTAAGACCAGCACGTTAACGACGAAGGCGACGGCAATACAGTGACAACCACGGCGTCTATCGCATGAGATCTTTTCCGCCCAACTGCATTTTCTGCGGATCAGATCTGGCCAACGATGGTGAGGGGTATGCCTCCTGCAGTTAACATGGGGCTATTTAGATTTGCTTTTGGATTAGAGTGAGTAGTATCAACAACGTATCGATCGTAATAACGTAGTATTGCTTGGTGCGGATGCAAGTATTGCTGCGAAATATAACCAGCGGCGACCAGTCATGCCGTGCTTACGATGGACATCAAACTCTAGCCTACTGTGAGCAGGAAATTTCGTACAACTATCACGAGCATAACGAAAATATAAGCACAGCGAAAAAAACGAGGAATTTCAGTTGCCCCAAGTCCCTATCTTCATTTCTCACTTGGGCAACCAGAATGATACATTAAATATAGATATGTAACGTCGATAAAGATGATGGTAGTAGATATTCCCTTTTCACATCTTTTTTTCTTTAGCGGTTGCATGTCATGTTAGAAAAGCACCAAGCAAGCAATGTGTCGCCGTTGACCATGTTGAGATTAGCCTTATTCGCCCTTTCATTCATCGGATGCAAAACATTCTATACACGTATATATACATAGACCCGCTTCGAACCTCTCTTCCTGCTCCTTTTTCCCATCAAAGGCTGTCCTAGGCCAAGCAATGCTGCCAGCAACGCTGTAATATTTTGGCAAGCATTGGATGAGTGCCGAATGGCGACGAAATCCCAAATAGCAAGCCTCCGAGTAAGGTACAACTGTAAGGTAAACGAAATAAAGGCAAAGTTCCTGGAAACGAAGGCGCCAAGAATCGGCAAATATTGTAGGAGCTGGCAAGAACTGCAATGTGCCAGTGCAAGCCGGTGTTAAGAAATCATGGAACGTTGACAGCCTCCGGTCGGATAGGGAGTAGTTGTGTGTCAGTAAAAGGGGTAACGTATTGACGGGATTGTGAGCCTATGTGCGTGTGTCCTGTAGCTGTCACGAAGTTGGCTGTATCTCTAGGGCCAGGAACAGCGGGCCTAAACAATCGTTCTTAGGCCAGACAAAACTGTATTTGTCGTGCAATTCCTAAACACCAGAAGTACTAGGCAGCTTGAGAGAGATTTATAAATGAAAAGTGCGTACATTTGTCGGACTTGTATTGTTGTTAGCTATACTATTGTTCATAACCACTAAGTGTTCTCTTTTACAGAGGACGAGATGCTGTGCACGATAAAAATTGATTCTATGAAAATAAATTGACGTCTGGTATATATAATAAGAATTAGACGTTTCGTAAGGGACCAAATGAGGAGTATATGTGAAAAAGACGTTCGTATTTGTAGACATCACGCACACCCTAAATATAAACTTGGTAGGATGTGACAGTGTGTATGATAACGGGTGGACGATTCTTTTTTACGTATACAACTGGTCGTAATGACTATCATTTATGTACGGTAGTGCGACAGCTGCCGGCTCCTGAGAAAGGAAGAGACAAATATAAAATAGTATAATAATTAATCATCAGCTGGTAATGTACGTAGTATGGATATACACATAGTATATACGTGAATATACATATACCAACAAAGGTATACACACATACACATGACCAATACGACACACAGACTTCGATTGCACACAGCTGAAAGAAATACAATAAGAGAGCCAGTCGAATATTACACGAATAAACATAGACATGTTCAAATACCTCTGGCGATGGTACAAGCGCGACCATGTCGTACGCGTACACATATTGTGCGACCGTGAGCCCGCCGCGTCTTCCACATGCTCCGCCCAACATGTACATACGATTACCAGCAGGTGCAATAAACGTGTAAATTATTACGAACTCACGTATTTTGTGTTGGGGATATGATCTGCATATGCGTCTGGCCCTATAGCCCCAGCTTGGAATATGTCTTATTTTGGGGTATCTTATTGTCGTAGGTATTTTTTGTACCTTTGTACAGTACATATATATATGCGGGTCGCGTGAACAGGCTTATGTACAGGGTTCATTTTACAGAAAGTTGACTTGGTAATGTGGGAGTCTCTATTTTATATATGTAGAATAGATTTACGTAACATGCACGTGAGCAATGCATATATATACGCGAACTGTTAGGACACTTTTGTCCTTCTCCGTATAAAGATATACATAAATATACCATTTCCTTTACCCTCACTTATTTAGGGATGCTGTTTACAAAGGCCATCTTCCCGCTATCCAGCAAATACCTAATCTCCATATCTCCAAACACAGCTCGAGATGAAGATTTCTCTCTATTTACATTGCTGCTAACTGGATACATCGCCCAAATGTTGCGATGTTTCGCCCTTCACCCACCTCGAAATCGTTCTCCCATCCCGTCTCGTACTAGCTGCACGCCTTCGACGTTATACTCGCTTCTCATATAGGTGAACAGCTTTTTTCCCTAACCAACTGGAACAGCTATAGAAGCGATAATCATCTAGTGACAACCCGCAAGCAGGTTAGGTAGGTAAATTAGAGAAAAGTGCCGTCACCACATTGGCAAGAACAATTGCGTCGGGTACCCTTCGACAGAACTGCAGAGTAACGAAACTAGTTCGCGAGCGTAGGCGGACTCACCCCAGCAGCGAGCGCCACTGCCACTGATGGTCAACCAGAACGACGTCGGCACTACATTACCATTGTTACCGGCCAGCTTCCCGTTTGGACACGACTAAGGGGGAGCGTCAGCGATACGACCCCCATCTTGATGGCGCCGCTTCGACAGAGGGGCTAACTCCTGAATGCATGATAGTACTCGTATAGCTCCTGGATCCCCTGTTATATGCGTATGAGTGTGTGAGTGTCTATGCTTGTCCACACATGTGAATACGATACACATTTCAGGGAAGAGACTGGGACATTAGCCAGAGGAAGGGCATTGAGGTGAGGACGGTCCTTTAAGGTGGAAACAGAATGTGCGTTTGTCATTCCCACGGTACTTGCTTGTGTTTTTGTTTTTGTCGTTGTTGCGGCTGTTTCTGTTTCGTTGATGTGACATGCAAGAGTATAATCAACACATCGGATGCTATGAGGTGACGACCAAAGGTGACCGTTGGTGCAGCGGTTAGATAGCAAACGATTAGCTTAGAAGACAAGCCGGGCAGATGTGGAAACCAATGTAGTATTAACGAAAACAAGTACTAACATAAATAGTAATCATCGGTAAATTCGAGAAAGTAAGGCGTCTTTTAGTAGAGCAGGTAGGTTAGGTAGTCGAGGCTTCTATGTACGAAACTATCTCATTGTCACAACAAATATCTGGTTGAATGGTATGCAGAAATATAAAGGTCATATGCTATGCATGATGCATCGTAGTCACAAAGCGCTGAACTATAATAATGTAATTATCACAGCGACGTTTTGGCAAATCTACGAATGAGAACGGCCGTAGATGAGGTTCAACAGGTCAGAGTGATGAGTCCATGTGATTTCCGACATCGTTTCTTGACTGCCTTTTGATATGAGAGAGAAAAATAATATGTGACGCTACAACAACCCAGTAAGGGTAGGATGTAAAAGTCAAGTTACAAGTACGAGAAAAGCATTATGCATTAAGCAGGGCTCGCTTTCTGCCAAATTTAGTAGTCTAAAGCAGGTTAGGATATTTGTTCAAAGAAAGCAAACATCCAATAATTTTACTAGTAAGTTGAACAGTAAAAATAACTATTGATATTCATTGTTATCACTAAAATATGACGAATAGACAAAACATTTCTGATACATATTTTTCATGATCTATTGGAATACTCTGCAGTCCCAAACAAGGCGTTCCCAAGCAACATCGGCACGACCGGCTAAACCAAAAAGAGAAAACGGCATTTCTTTAGGCGTTTCCCTAGCGCTTTGTATTTCTAACACGCTTTGCATAGGGCCGATGCCCCTGCCTCTCGTTCGAGCGAAATTGACCGCAAAAGGGGGCACCTAATGTTAAACTCCCTATTACCTCGCATACATGCTCCGAGATTCTCCTGGCAACCTTTGCTTGGGGATTGTCAGGGAATGTTATCCTCGAGATTGCCTTCTAGCCTGCAGTGTTACATCATAATCATCTCCACCTCCCGCCTACACCTTACAGTTCCGCGTAGGCAGCCTCCTGTGCTGTAGCTGCCGCTGATCCCCCTCTACTAAGCGCGTGCGCACCACTGTAGCATTGAACAAAGCGCCCCAGTCCGTCCATCCGAGCATTATTTAAGCGTGTATAGTTAAGCCTATAGTGCATATAATCTTTTTAAAGCGGAAATCTTTTGATATGCGAGAAAAACTACTCTGCGCCGCCACTTTACTAATCCTTAGCGCACGCTCACTTTTTATTATGAAGGAAAAAATACTTAGATTCGATTGAAAAGCTACCCCCCAAACCAGTTCATGCTAAAAGAACGTCTGGCATGCTATGTGGAAAACTGTGACGCATAACGCCGGAACGACACGCAGAAAAGACTCCTCGGTCGTTACCTTCAGTGCTTCTGTTGTCGCCAAGTGTATTAACAAGCTGGCTATAACGTATAAGGAAACAACTTGAAGATACTTCAGCGACTGCAACAAATGCTGCGGCTTCTTTAGTGGCAATAGCGCAACTGAGAAAAGTCCAATGTGTGAGCTACATCAATACAGATGTCAGCGCCACTTGTCGATTTGACGACTGGCACAAACATGGTCCTTCAACGACTGCAAACGACAAACGACTGTCTTTTTTGGAAACTGCCAGAGGATATGGCTTGCGATACCGGACTTAAATACGACGCCGTTCGTGTTTTGCCCTATAAGTATCATTATCGGTCTGACGGCCGTGTAATAATAAACAATAATCAATAAGGCCGTGTAATGGTGCATTGGTACCGCAACAGACAATGTGCTTAAATGAGCGCAAGTTGCAAGAGTAGCCTACTTTATTTAGCTGCGAAAAGAGCTCTCCTTTCCCGCATCATCTCAGATACTAAGTCACATTATCTCTCAACCGCTACCACCATCTTTATGAATATTATGTTGCCCGTAAATACAAATAGTCGTAACGCTCATGATCATCTTAACCTTCGAAATATGTCATTGACGCCGTGGGTGTCGCCCGCCGAGAAAACAAGTGGATGGTGGCACCCAGCTGTGTGGAACGTTTTCAAGAAAAATACGATATGCTGCTTTAGGATATAGCGGCCATATCAATCGGAGCAAAAGGTACACATCTCAGAAAGGCAGA